TTTTTTTTTTTTGGTTTACTGGTTATTTAATAAGATGTTTCATTTCTACATATTTGTGTATTTTCTAGTTTTCTTTCAAGTCTAATTTCTTTCCTTTGTAGTTGGAAAAGATGCTTTGCATGAGTTCAGTCTTTCTGAATTTATTGATACTTGTTTTGTGACATCGTTTATGGTTTATCATGGAGAAAGATCCATGTGTACTAGAAGAAAATGTGTTCTGTTGTTGTTGGGTGGGCTGTTCTACATATACCTGTTAGATCTGGTTGGTTAGTAGTGCTGTTCTAGCCCTCTGTTTTCTTACTGATTTCCTGTGTAGATGTTCACTTCATCATTGAAAGTGTTTTATTGAAGTTTTCAGCAATTATTGTAGAAGTGTCTGTTTTTCTCTCCAGTTCTGTCAATGTTTGCTTTATATATCTGGAGCCTGTGTTGTTAGGTAAAAGGTCCCTAGAAGGCACCAACAGTTTGCACTTGGCTGCTTACAGAAATATTGGCTATTTGAGCCCATCCAGTGGTGCTGCAGATGAAAGGCCTGGTGATCTGCTTCCATGAAGAACATAATCAAGAAAACACTATGGATATCAGTTCTACTTTGTAACACTTGGGGTTGCCATGAGTTGGAATTAATTCAAGTTCAGTGTGTTTGGTTTTTGTTTGTTTAAGGTGTGTGTGTATATATATATATATATATATATATTTATAATTGTTACAGCTTCTTGATGAAGTGATCCTTTTATAATCATGTAATGCCCTTCTTTGTCTCTTGAAACAGATTTTTGACTTAAAGTCTGTCTATCTGATTTAACATAGCCATCCCATCTTTGTTTGGGTAATATTTGCATGGAATATATTTATGTATATATCATCGTTTCCTTTTAACCTGTTTTATTTGGATCGAAAATGTATCTCTCATAGATAGCAAAAAATGAGATCACGTTTTCTAATCCACTTTGCCAGTCTCTGCCTTTGGAATGGAATGTTTAATCTATTTATATTAAAATTTATTACTGATAAGGAATGACTTCTTTAGCCACTTTACTATTTGTTTACTATGTGTCTTACACTTTTTTGTTCTTCATTTCCTCCTTTACCTTCTTTTGTGTTCAATTCTTTGTAGTGAAACATTTTTGATTCCCTTCTCCTTTACTGTTACGTGCATGTATGTATATATTATTATTGCATACCATGTGGACTATGTTTAAAAAATTTTTTTTTGGAAAATTTACAGAGCAAAATGGGTTCCCATTCAACAATTTCCATGCATACTATTCAGTGATAATGGTTACATTCTTCACATTGTGTCTACAGTTGCATTATTTTGGTTCTAATTGTTCTGTTTCCCATAACCTAATCTCCTTGCACTGCTAACTTCTTAGCTGTGCTTCAGAGTGTTTTTTAACTATTTGGTTTCATATAGACTTTTTTTAATGGAGCACTGTACTCACCGGTAATATCCTTTATTTGGTGTGCCAGTCTGTTATTTTGCAAAAATGTGACCTTTAGATAATTTTGGTTCAGAGTTTAGAGAGTGTCTCAGAGCAAGAGTCTACAGGAGTCCTATAGTCTCAACTGGTGTTTGAAATGCAAAAGTTGGTAACAAAGGAACATCAATAGTTGAAAAATATGGCCTTGGTGATATAAATAATGCCGGAGATCATATGATAGAATTTTGCAAGACAAATGACTTAATTGATTGCAAATATCTTTTCTCTACAACATAAAGAGCAGCTATACACATGTACTTTGCCAGATGGAATACATCGAAATCATATCAACTACATATGTGTAAAGAGACAGTGGAGAAGCCTAATATCAACAGTTAGAAAAAGGCTATGGACCAACCGTGGAACAGACCACCAATTGTTCATATGTAAGCTGAAGTTGAAGTTGAAGAAAATTTTAAGAATTCCACGAGAGTCAAATTACGACCATAAGCATATCCCATCTGAATTTAGAGATCATCTGAAGAATAGATTTGATATATTGAATACTAATGATAAGACTAATGATAAGACGGAGCTCTGGTAGCATAGTGGCTAAGACACTTGCCTGCTAACCAGACGGCTGGCGGTTCAAACCCACCAGCCACTCCTCGGAAGGAAGGTTGGGCAATCCTACTTCCGTAGTGATACTGCCTCGGAAACCCAAGGAGGGGTCGCTGTGAGTCTGAGCCGACTCGATAGCACATAACAACAACAACAACAACAACAACAACAATGATAAGACCAGACAAGTTGTGCAATGACATCAAGAACATCATACATGAAGAAACAAAAGATCATTAAAAAGACAGGAAAGGACAAAAAGACCAAAATGTATGTCGGAAAATACTCTGAAACTTGCTCTTGAACAGGCAGTAGCTAAAGTGAATGGAAGAAACGGTAAAGTAAAAGATCTGGTAAAGTAAAAAACAGAACATTTCAAAGGGTAGCTTGAGAATACAAATTGTAATGAAATGTACTAAGAATTGGAGTTAGCAGACCAAAAGGGAAGAACACATTCAACCTTTCTCAAGCTGAAAGAATTGAAGAAAAAACTCAAGCCTCAAGTTAAAGAAGATGGAAAGAATACACAGTGTCACTATAGGAATTGGTCAGTGTTCAGCCATTTTAGAAGTTAGTATGTGATCTGGAACCAATGGTGGTATTGAAAAAAGAAGGCCAAGTTTCACTGAAGGAATTGGCAAAAACCAAAAAACAAACAAACAACAACAACAACAAAAAAACATGGCTCCAGAAATTGACAGAATACCAATTGAGATTTTTCAACAAATAGATGCAACACTGAAAGTGTGCATAAGTCTGTGCCAAGAAATTTGAAAGACGGTACCTGGCCAACCAACTAGAAGAGATCCATTTTTGTGCCCGTTCCAAGGAAAGGTGATCCAACAGAATGTGGAAATTATTGAACAATATCATTAATGTCACATGCAAGTAAAATTTTGCTGAAGATAATTAAAAAGCAATTGCAGCAGTACCTAGACAGACAACTGCCAGAAATGCAAGCTGGATTCAGAAGATAATGTGGAATGAGGGCTATTGCAGCTGATGTCAGATAGATTTTGGCAAAAAGTAAGGAATATCAGGAAGATGTTTACCTGTGTTTTATTGACTGTCAAAGTTATTTGACTGTGTGGATCATAACAAAGTGTGGATAATATTGTAAAGAATGGAATTCCAGAACAGTTAATTGTGCTCATGAGGAACCTGTACATAGATCAAGAGACAGTCATTTGAATAGAACCAAGGGATAGTGCATGGTTTAAAATCAGGAATGATGTGTGTCAGGGGTATATCCATTGACCATACTTACTCAATCTGTGTGCTGAGAAAACAGTCTGAGAAGCTGGACTATATGAAGAGGAACATGGAATTGGGATTAGAGGGAAACTCATTAACAACCTGTGATAGGCAGATGAGAAGACCTTGTTTGCTGAAAGCTGAGAAGACTTAATATACTTACTGATGAAGATCAATGACAATAGCCTTCTTTATGGATTACATCTTAACATAAAGAAAACAAAAATCCTCACAACTGGATCAGTTAACAACATCATGATAAATTGTGAAAAGATTGAAGTTGTCAATGATTTCATTTTACTTATATCCACAGTCAGTGCCCATGGAACCAGTAGTCACAAAATCAAAGGACATATTCCTGCATTGGACAGATCTTCTGCAAAATACCTCTTGAAAGTGTTAAAGAGAAAATGTTACTTTGAAGACTAAGGTGACCCTGACCCAAGCTATCATCTCTTCAGTAGCCTTATATGTATATGATAGCTGGACAGTGAATAAGGCAGACCACAGAAGAACTGATGCATTTGAATTGTGTTGGTGAGGAATATTGAACATACTATGGAATGCCAGAAGAACAAAAAATCTGTCTTGGAGGAAGTATAGCCAGAATGCTCCTTAGAAGTGAGAATGACCAGATTTCATCTCTCGTACTTTGGTCATGTTTCAAGAGGGACCGGTCCCTGGAAAAGGATATCATGCTTGGTAAAGTAGAGGGTCGGCAAAAAAGGGGAAGACCCTCAAGGAGATGTATTGACACAGTGACTGCAAAGATGAGCTCAAGCATAGCAAGGATTGTATGGCTGGTGCAAGACTGGACTTTGTTTTGTTCTGTGGTATGTAGGGTTGCTGTGAGTTGAAATCGACTTTATGGCACCTAAGAGCAACAACAATGATATAATATAATATAATGTATACACATATGCATGTGTACATATAATACATTTATGTAAAACAATCCAGGAAATAATAAAAAGTTACACCATAATCTGTAATCTAACACATCAGAGATAATCTCTATCAATATTTTGATGTATATTTCTAATCTTTTTTTTTCCCAATGCACATATACTCATGTCCTTAAGGGTCCACATCTGAAATTAGTTGACTTCTGTTTACATATACTTGAGAAAAGTACATTCTAGGATTGACACGTTTTCAGAAAATAGGAAAAGAAATAAATGTATGGTGAGAATTACTATATGCTATATATGAGTGGTTTCTAAGTGTTGATCCATGATCTGGTGGTGATTATAAAAAAGTTCTTAATAGTTCAAGATAAAGAGAATGCAATGATGAAGAAAAAGAATTTATTTAACATAAAGGACAATTGTATAATCTAAATTTTTCCCTCCCCTTTTACTTCTTGGATAGTTAAAATGTTCAGAGTTCTATGAAATGTTGGTGAAACTTTGTAGTCTTGTTGTTAGTGATGATGATGATGATGATACTTTTTAATTTTCTTACATTGCAAAATACACCACCAACAAAAGGATGATAGTCCTGTGTTGTCTCCTGCCTCAATTTTTTATTGTATTTTACTGTCCTGTGTAATTTAAAAGTCTAGAAATGACTGCTGATGATCATCTTACATAGCTTCTTATTAATCAACCATGTAACTGTTTGACTCAGTGCTATTGGACCTTAGATTAACTTTTCATTATATTATTATTCATTGAGTATGTTTTATTTTTTCATTCCCAGTACCTGGTTATGGATTATTATGTTGGTGGGGATTTGCTTACTCTGCTCAGCAAATTTGAAGACAGATTGCCTGAAGAGATGGCTCGATTTTACTTGGCTGAGATGGTGATAGCAATTGATTCAGTTCATCAACTACATTATGTACACAGGTAAGTAAGATGGTCCTGCATTTGGCTTATCAGATTTATCAGGTAATTTTAGAAGCTGAGATCTATTTTTACCAAATTTGTTATGGTCTCAGATACATTTCTCTTGTCAATCAAGATAATTTATTTTGAGATGGTTTTAATTCTTGTTATTGTCATTATTTTTCAGCATTAAAGAACTGATGGACCTGCTTATATCCATATATATGTATATATGTAGATTATCTTAAAGTTTCAACTTCCAGGCAGAATTTCTACAGAATGCTTCTAAGAAAATGCTGTTATTTAAAGTTGTGTATCATTTTCCTTTACAGAAGAAGTATGCACTGACCAGTTTTCTTATAACTAAATCTCATATGCTGGTATTAGCCAGAGTACTAGGCCATAAATCATAGGTTCACTTCCTAAGACCAATATTATATATTTTTTGTTTCTTAAGAAAATAATGTCAAGGATGGAATAAATGCCAAAATAAAGATATTTTTCCTGGAAAGTGATCATTTTGATGGCCAAAGAATAATAATTACACCACTTGACACATATAATGATTTATTTAAAAATTTGTCCACAAATGTGGGTTATATTGTATATGATTTAGAATAAAGTGAAAAGAGAGAGGTGGGCCTATTAGCAAAATTGTTTCTTAAATAGAATTATTTTACCTATTGATAGAAGTTAAAGATCCCTTTCTTTGTAAACAGTTTGTAATAATTTTTGTGTGATAAATACTTTTTAAATGTATTGGGTGGTTTAAAAACAGCTTCACATTTTAAAATTAAAGAAAATGGGAAATGATAGCAAAATCATTGGTGAATTAATCATTCAAATAAGAAAATACTTTGAGCAAACTGTGAGAAAGAAAAAGAGATGTTGAAGAGAAGTAAGTAAAGGGGTGCTGCACTGGTAGAGAGAAGTTAAATTGTTGTTTTAAAAGTTTAACATGCATCAAAATCATAGGGCTTGTTAAAATCATATTTTTGTGCCCCAGCACACAACTGCACTCTTGTGGTCTCCAGAGTGAATGGGAAACCAAAGTGCTTTTTCATTATTCAAACAGTAACCCAAGGTCCTGAGATTTGCCATTTAAAAATACTTACAAAGCTCTTCCCTGTAAGCAGCCTATGGTGATTTTGCAAAATGGTTTGCTACTCACTTGACCCAGAAAACCCCACAAAATCATGCAAATCAAGAGGTTCAAATCTTTGGGTCAATTTTAAGAATACCCATGAAACTTCCCATACCCATTAAGGGTATGCATATCCAAAAAACCACCAAGTATTTGCAAGATGTCACTTTGCAGAAGTAATGTGTGCCGTTCCGACGTTACAATGGTGAAGTTGGTAGGTGTGCTGGGCCAAACTATGGGATTGGACACAGGGTTGATGGCCCAAAAAGTGCTGAATTTTTGCTGCACATGCTTAAAAATGCAGAGAGTAATGCAAAACTTAAGGGTTTAGATGTAGATTCTCTGGTCATTGAGCACATCCAGGTGAACAAAGCCCCCAAGATAAGCCACCGCACTTACAGAGCTCATGGTCAAATCAATCCATATATGAGCTCTCCCTGCCACATTGAGATGATCCTTACTGAAAAGGAGCAAATTGTTCCTAAACGGGAAGAGGAGGCTGCACAAAAGAAAAAGATGTCCCAGAAGAAACTGAAGAAACAGAAGCTTATGGCTTGGGAGTAAATTCAGCATAAAATAAAATGCAAATAAAAGTTAAAAAAAAAAACTTACAAAAATGTCATTTCATTAAACATTAGAAGAATGTTAGTTTACCAAACATTTAGTCTTTACCTTTTTGAGTACAAAGAGATTTTACCCTAAGGCATATCTAAATTCTTGACAAAGAGTGATTGCTTCTGAAAATTCCTCATTTAGATTAAGGACAGTAAATATGAGGTACTTGCTACACTCCATTCTGCTAAGTTTGTGATAGATATCATTTCAATATTGATATGTGGATTGCAAACCATTTCAACTGGGAGGTCTACTTAGGTATCTCTGATTACAAAGTACTTCATGTTAAGTGAATTCTATTTGTTCCATTGTTGGACATTTTTAATTACAGAATTTTACTTGATGTTAAGCCTGAATTTCTTTTTCTCATAATCATTGGTTCAGGTTTTACTTTTAGAGCCACATGTAATAATCTGTCTTCTAGATCTCATACCTATGTAGATTAAACATTGAGACATTTCTAGTTTCTCTGTTATTAGAATTTACATAGACATTCTGTCTTTCATACGTGTGTGCCACATGCACGTGCATACACACACACATATACATACATACATCCTCTGTTCCTACTTCTGTACCTCTTCTCCATCCTTCCTTCTGTCTCCCTTTACCCTTTAGTGGACATTTTCTGTTATTTCACTAGGCTGCTTAAAATGTGGTTCCTGTTTTCTGGATAAAATATCTATTTGCAGCAGATGTTTTACTAAGGAATAAATTTATTGAATCCTCTTTTGTAAATACAGTTGTGCTGTGGAATTTTAGTAGCAGGTGTAACATACAAAGCTTCCAATCTGTCTGGGGACACAAAATAAAATAGATAACAATTGAAATAACACAAGTTAAATAATTGTTTAGGACATAATTATAAAAGACGGAGAGTCCAAGCTGTGAAGTACTAAATGAGTAATGCAAGCAAATTATAATGAGCTCAGAGGCTTGAGTTCTAAAATTTGAGTTATAATCATCAGTTCTAGTAGTAATTTAACTGTTATTATGTACTATGGATTTAAAATATTATATTCTAAGAATAATTCTGTGTTTAGATGTTATCCTAAAATGGATGTTGCTCCCTATGAGGAGGCCCAGACTCAGAGACATTGGTTGGTAAGTAGGGTAGCCTAGACTAAAGTCTAAATCAGTTTGCTTCAGAATTTATAATCTTTGCGTAACATCATATTGCATATAAGCAAAGCCTTTAATGGTGAGGCCTTGAAAACTGAGATGACTATATGTAAATACCACCACTCATCTGTCAGTTTGTCATATTGTGGTGCCGTGCCTGTTGCTGTGAGTCTGGAGGCTACTCCATCGGTATTTCAAGTACTTGCAGGGTCACCCATGGTGTACAGGTTTCAGTGGAGTTCCAGACTAAGACAGATTTGGAAGAAGAAAGGGGCCATCTACTTCTCAAAGAATTGGCCAGTGAAAACCTTACTAATAGCAGTGAAATGCTTTCTGATATATTACTGGAAAACTTGATGAGAACCCCTGAAACACTGCCTGATGTAGTGCTGGAAGATGAGCCCCTCAGGTCAGAAGACACTCAAAATACGACTGGGGAAGAGCTGGTTCCTCAAAGTAGAGTTGACCTTAATGACATGGATGGGACCACCATTTGCTGATATGGCACGACTCAAAATGGGAAGAAACAGCTGCAAACATCCATTAATAATTGGAACATGGAATGTACGAAATATGAATCTAGGAAAGTTGGAGGTTGTCAAAAATGAAATGGAGCACATAAAGATTGATACCTTAGGCATTGTGTTGTTGTTGTTGTTATTTGCTGTCGAGTCGGCCCCAACTCATAGCGACCCCTCCTTGGGTTTCCAAGACAGTATCACTACGGAAGTAGGATTGCCCAACCTTCCTTCCGAGGAGTGGCTGGTGGGTTTGAACCGCCAGCCTTCTGGTTAGCAGTCAAGTGCCTTAGGCACTATGCTACCAGATGAAATGATCTGTTTTGGCCATTATGAATTAGACAAACATAGGATCTACTATGCCGGGAATGACAAATTGAGGAATGGTGTGTCATTTGTTGTCACAAAGAATGTTTCAAGAATACTTAAAAGATACTTCTATCCTGAAGTACAGTGCTGTCAGTGATAGGATTATATCCATATGCCTACAGGGAAGACCAGTTAATACTGCTACATTCAAATTTACTCACCAACCACCCAAGTGAGAGATGAGGAAATTAAAGATTTTTACAAACTTCTACAGTCTGAGGCTGACCAAATATGCAATCAAGATGTATTAATTATTACAGATGATTGCAATGCAAAAGTTGGCAACAAAGAAGAATCACTGGTAATTGGAAAATACGGCTTTGGTGATAGAAATGATGCTGGAGATCACATGATAGAATTTTGCAAGACCAACGGCTTATTCATTGCAAATACCTTTTTTCAACAACATAAGTGGCAGTATATACACATGGACTTCACCAGGTGGAATACACAGGAATCAGATTGACTACATCTGTGGAAAGAGGCAATGGAGAAGCTCAATATCTTCAGCCAAAATAAGACCAGCACCGGACTGTGAAACAGACCATCAACTGGTCATATGTAAGTACAAATTGAAGTTGAAGACAGTTAAAAGAAGTCTATGAGAGCTAAAATATGAGCTTGAATATATCCCACTTGAATTTAGAGACCATCTGAAGAGTAGATTTGATGCATTGAACTTCAGTGATCAAAAAACAGATGAGTTGTGGGATGGTATCAAGAACATCATCCATGAAGAAAGCAAAAATCATTAAAAAGACAGGAAAGAAAGAAAAGACCAAAATGGACATCAGAAGAGACTCTGGAACTTGCTCTTGATTGGAGAGTAGCTAAAGCAAATGGAAGAAATGACAAGGTAAAAGAGCTGAACAGAAAATTTCAAAGAGCAGCTCAAGAAGACATAGTTATTATAATGAAATGTGCAAAGACCTGGAGTTAGAAAACCAAAAGGGAGGAATATACTTGGCATTTCTCACGCTGAAAGAACTGAAGAAATTCAAGCCTCAAGGTACAATATTGAAAAATTCTATGGGAAAAATATTGAATGACAGTGGCAACATCAAAAGAAGATAGAAGGAATACACAGAGTCATTGCAGCAAAAAGAATTGGTTGATGTTCATCTATTTTAGAAGGTGGTATATGATCAAAAACCAATGGTATTGAAGGAAGAAGTTGAAGCTGCACTGAAGAAATTGGCAAAAAACAAGGATCCAGGAATTGACGGAATACCCAATGAGATGTTTCAACATAT